AGGTCAATCACAGAAAACATTCTCAATCCACCTGTACTTGCCCGATTCCTTCACGTTAATCCTACTTCATGGTACACATCTTTTGATCCTGCAAAACACGATATCTGTATGAGAGTTGGTGTTTATAAATGTAGAGGTAAGTTGTAGTCGTAACTGTTGTTACGTATGTTTTGATCCTGCAAAACACGATATCTGTATGGGAGTTGGTGTTTATAAATGTAGAGGTAAGCTGTAGTCGTAACTGTTGTTACGTATGTTTTGATGATGGTGTTATTATGTCACTACCAAAACCAAGATGCTTTGCAGACCTACATTTTCCCCACCTTTTYTTTTCTATTTTTTTTCTTTCTTTTTTATGTTACTTTTGGATTCATTATAAAAGTAATAACTTTTCAAATTCGATGGAAGGAAGCCAAAACAATTGAAAGCGTAAAGCATACGTCGTATAAAAATGAAAATATTCGTGATTTAAATCGAAATTTATACAGTTTCAAGATGATATAATGTTTGTTTTCCTTTCTAGACTGCAAACTTGTTCCAGTTTCTAGGTGTAATATCAATGACCTTGGTAAGGAAACGACTACTTTTGTTTTCTTTTTTTCTATACAATTTAATTGCCCTGAGCTATTGACCTGGGATCAAGGTTTYATAATACAATCATTTCATTTTCTAAGAAGGCTATTAATACAAACATGTACACTTGTCACTTAAGATTTTTAAAAAAATTCGCTCTGACCTATTCACCTGGAATATAGATTCCACAATAGGGTTTTTTTTCTTTTTTTCTGTGAAGTCTATTTATACAATTGTCACGTGATAAATGCTAACAAAGTTGAAAACATTGTTATTTTGGGGAAGACGACGAAAACTAACACGAAAGAATAAAAAGGTAGGGTATCTTTAGATGTYCTGCTCAGAGGACTSTATATTTGTTCCTTTTTCGTTTGCTCGTTCGTTCGTTCGTTCATTCGTTAGTCTGACTCTGATGTAACTCAGGAGGGTCGGATCCAGGGATGGTAAAAGAGGTGACTAAAACACTCACTCCCCCTTTTCTCGAATTCCTGGTAAAACCTTTGTAATAGACACCTCATTCTAAAATTCCTGGATCCATCCCTGTCTAACTATTTGGCGTTTTGATATYTTGTTATTTTGCCTGCTTGGTAGTTCCTTTGAATACATTTTTGCTTTCTTTTTTTAAACTGTTTGCTTGTTTGTTTTTCATTTTCGCTTCTAGTCGGATTACTTGAACGCTTTCGTGTGTATATAGCTGTCTGAATACTTCCTAATTCCAGTGTTTTTTTAACTCTTCCTCTATTTTAACTTAATTTAACAGCTCCAAAGCGTCGTCGACAATCATATTGATTCGCTTTTACATCCAGCTTGGAAACGCAACACACTGTGTAGCTGAAATAATCATCCCAGAAACTTAAAATAAAAAAGTGCAGCGGAGAGACAAGCTATTTGCTTACAAAATGAAGAACTGTAGTTTCAAATATGTGCATTGAGCAACAGACCACGCGCAATCAGTATAATTTACGYTACTTTAAAACTGAAAACTCGAGTTTACCTATTTCGTGATTTTTTATTCGTAATTTACATGAGGTAAAACAATGGTGCTGCAAATTCAAATTAATGGGGTTAAAAAAATATGCGCTYTGTGCATCTAGCTGCAGGAGCTCGTGGGAATTTACCATGCACGTGCTTTCAGCACTAGGTCTTTTTATGCTCCAGTGGCAGATACATTTTATATGYTTCGTGCCATGAACGCAAAACTGAGTATCATCTCCAAGTGTCTTGAATTAACGAGAAGCAATCACGCGCTCTTACTTGATCAAAGAAAGGAATCAATCTGTAATTCTTTACCGTGCCGTATGCACTGCCTTTTCATAGTCATATGARTTCAGTTCTTCAAGGTCAGAGCTAGGCGAGAGTAGTTGCACGAGAGAAAGAAACAGGACTTTTCCCTCTCTTGTGAGGAAAAATGTATCTCCATGCACAGTCAACTTTGTCTCCCGCCTCCATTTTTGGATGCGCTTTTGTTATGATTTGTATCCAAGTCACTGGAGCACATGATTAATTTCTCTAAAAATTACATCAATTGTTCCCTGCTCCAAATGTGCCCTCCACCTCGCGCTTTTGGAAGCAGCACGAACATTCTAGTTTTCAAATSTCTGCCATAAATTGAAGTAACCATGCATTGTAAGAGCTTAGTTTTTTTGCATCCGCTTTCTAAGGTTGGTAGAAAAAGTCAAAGAAAGGCTTTTTCTTCAAAAACTGAAGAAAAAGCCTTTCTTCATAGTCTAACAGTAGGTCGCTTGCATCACTATTATTAATAAAGCAAAAATAAAGGGGGGAGTTTTGTAATCTAAATTATTTAGCAATTATATAATTAATTATAATAACAGCATACAACAGTTGAATCTTTCGCCAAATGTCCCGACATAAACAGACATTAAATCCATATAATTCATCAACATATTCATGATATATTTATACTGATTTAATAGTATATATTCCCATTATCCTATAAAGCGTACCATTTCGTTGCTCCACAATCATGTAWCGGTAAAGAAACTAATTTTGCTTTAAATTATTGCCAATAAATGATGCTTAATCTTTATTCATTTAATTTTTTTCTTTTTTCGGTTTGTTTTACTTTCTTGATCTGATTTTCTGATTTTTATTGATTTTGCCGTCTTTCTTAGTAAAATAATAATTTTAAGTCTGTAACGGCACTTACATTTATATAGCTCGGTATTCGGTTTTTCACGTGTTTTGGTAATCATAACTTTATTATTTTTCTTACTTTGTTGGACTACCTTTGGTTTTTGCGGGAATTTTTGTTCCAAAACGCTTGTGCTCATCCCTCCAACTTTGGTACGCTAAGCCACTGCTGCCCCAATCGAAAATGTAAAAAGCACAGCGCGTGTGATTAACTTTGATTGACGCCCKCGAAAAAAAAAAAGCCTTTCAGTATATATGTKGCAGCTACAGATTTCGAGTAATATTGAGAACTGCTCTTACTCCATTAAGATTACTTTTGTTATTTCTAATGATAATGGTCACGTCTATRTAAGCATGAAATGAGATGTGTTCACTGCTCAGACATGGGATGTAGCTTGGTGGCGACATCGAGCCGGGACACCAGTAGCCCAGCATCAGTGCTTAAAAAGTGAAAATGATTCCAATACATTTGTTAATTTGTTTGCCCTAATTTTATGAAAATTTCGTGTTAAATTCTGCCTTCGAACAAAAAGAAACCTTTTCAATGTATAGAAATGGAAATATATATATACCTAACCAATAAATTCTGCAACTTTGCATATATACATATGTCTTTTGTTCCTCTACTGTTTCGTCTCTCGAGAACTAAAGTATTGTAAAAGACAAATTAAAGAAGTTTTTTTCCACAAAATGTAGTGGCTGAGCATTCGTATTTAAGCATGCTTTACGTTCTGCGTCTCATTGATATCTTGCATCTCACTAGGTATCTGTATAAATGTATACTACAAC